GTGCCGGCCCTGACTGTCTAATCAAAGCGCACACTGTCAGGCGCTTCACGTTTCTGCCATGCCCTGGGCGCCTGACACGGCTGTCCGTCCGGGCCACGGAAAACGGCCCGCCGGCGCTGGTGGCCCAGCACCCCCACCGTGCCCAAGCCGTGGTGGGCAAAGGCGTTGAAGAGGGGCTCCGCCAACCTGCGGCATCCACAGGCGCTTAGAATCAATCCACGCGCTAATATGTTCTCAAACTGTGGAAAAGCGCGAACTTGGGGCTCGCTGGAAGATCACATGGATCGCTTACCTTCAATCATGGGCCATTCCCAAGCCTGAGACCCCCGTCAAGAGAGAGTCCAGTGTCAAACCTGAGGCACACTTGAACAGCTCGGATTTCACTCCCACAAGGTATTCATTCACTGATGGAGGATAGCAAGCACAAAGAAGTGCAATACATTTTTGTGATTGCTTGCAGTACAAACCCCCTTCAAATTCTCACTCCAGCGCTGAGGATTGGTGTCTGCAAACGCCTATCCATGAACAGCACATCCGCTGCCATCACCGTGTCAAAACAACCGCTGCGCCAGGGTTGTCGTCCTGTGCCGCAGGTTCGCATCGACCCCTCCCCCGGTGGAGCTGGGACATCGTTCTGCCATTGCCCAAATATTTCTCTTTTCAAAACATGTGACCTCGCGGCTTTGCAAACCCCAGGACGTCGCGAGTAACAGCAGGAAGTTCTCATCAAAGCCCTAGACAGAATTGGTAACTTTGATTCTCCCGCGTCACTAAGAGAACCTATGCCCAAATCCTGAACCGAGCAAACCCTCGAGGCCTCGACCCTTTCAGCCTTGGGCTTCTGCGGACTTGCTTTTACTTCAATTCTCTACATTGCACGATGCCCCATTTCCGTGAGGTCGATAAAAGCAGGCCCACGAGGTGTCCGGTCCTCGGGTGAAGTCGAAGGCCACGGCGTCGAAACGGGCGCCGCTGGCGTGGCCAGTGCGCTGCGCCAGGCGCAAAACCGGCAGCTCCTGTTGAAAGGGACACATTACCCTGCCACTATCCTGCTTCCCGGGCCCTTGTCTTTGCTCTGCTGTTTTGGGTGACAGGCTTCTAGGACAATTGCAGGTGACCAACCGCTACCCCTAAGGCCCTTGAATTGAACAACTGACGCGTTGCGGGCCATTTCACGCAATTCTTCAGACTGGCCGCCAATCAAAAGGGAAGCAGCCAAACAAAACAAGGCAAACAAATCAAGTTAACAACAAAGCCGTGAGCTGGAAATTGCTGGGCGAGTTTCTCCGTTAATCTTCCATGGCGCGTGCCGACGTGCCGCGAACCATCAGTGATCGCTGTGTATCACCAAGAGCTCCGCGGTGCATGTCTGTGCTCTTGAAAAGGAGGTGGAATAGCCAGTTCAAATCGAGTTTCATCACCTCAGCATACTTAGCTTTACAAATGTATCTCTCTTCCGGGGTGTGTCATTTGGTTTGGAGCGCGGCTGTGCACTCTAGACAGCTTCAACTCTGCACCTACCCCTACCAATACATACATATATATATATATATTGTTGGCAAATGACATTCTACCAGACCTGCCTTTCTCGCATTTGCAAACTCAAATGCTCAGTTTGCGCATGAACTTTCAGTTGCGAAATCAAAGCATGATGTCTGGGCTGTGTTTATTTAAATGGCCGAACTTGTACTTCTCCTAGTCAGGAAAGGGCGAAGATCCCATGCTTGCAGCCAGTCGTGGCCTCTAGAGCCGTTTTAAAACATAGCCTTGTGAAAACAAGGATGACACATCCCTTGCCGAGAAAATATTCGCTCCAAATGCAAAACATGGATCCCTCTCCTTATCCGTCAGCACGACGAAGCCGCGGCAGCTGCTGCCCAACGCGCCCAGGCCGCAGCCCAGCTCCAGCAACAGCCTGGCCCAGAGCATCCGCGCGCTGCTGGCTGGGAGCTTGGCCGTGATATGGCAGGTCCAGTCATTCGGCCACGAGAAACAAACTACCACAACGAAGCCATGTTTGCACACCACTTTGCCACACTTTGCCCAGCTTTTGCAAGCCCTTCCTGGACCTTCTTAGGACAACTGACCTCAGACATCTTCAGCATCGGACGGGTTCTTCCCTTGGGCTCCCTGAGCGCCGCAGGCGGGCAACCCCCTCCTCCGCACATCGCCTCCCTTCCCGCGGCCGCAGCTCCTGCGCGGCCGCCCGCGTCGCGGCGTGCCACAGCTGGAAGCCCGTGACGTCCTGGCGCAACGCCCCTTGAACCACTGGACCAAATTTTGTAGCCTTGGTGCTCAGCAAGTTGCTGCATCAACCTAGAACACCACGCAACCACCTATTTAGAAAACGAGACCTGTTCAGCAGCTACCACCACCAGAATATACTTGATGGCAGGGGACATCTGGCAGTGATTGTGCCGCCCCCTCCTCGCAGCCCAGGCGCGCTTCCTCGGGCACGTTGGGCAGCCTCAGAACAAGCAGCAGGAGCTGATGCTTGGTCCAACCAAGGCAGGCATGCCAAATGACCGTACATGGCCCATGGAGGCAAACACCCAAAGAGCAACGAACAATTCAGACCCTTTCAACGAGGGTCCATTATCGCTTCCTTTCTGCCTTGAGCTTCGCAAAACTAGCATTGATCTTCAGCAGCTGTATGCAACGTTGCTCAATCAACAATTAGCCCGCATGCACGCCACAACTAAGTGGCTGGCTTGACTACCACTCCGGCAACATCCACTGTGGCATCGTCGTCCGGGGAAGCAGCAGAACCGGGGAGAGCAGCATTCATAAGCTGGAGCCAGTGCTCAAACCCAAGCCAACACAAACAAAAAAAACGCTGATCATCTGCGCAAACTTATACAAACAATTGCTCCATACTCCAAATCCTGCAACTGCCCCACAAAGAAACCTCATATTATATGCGGCCAGGCTATGTTGGCAGCAATCTCCCTAAGTCAAACACCAATCTGCGTGAAGGCTGGTTCACGAGTCCGTGCCGTCTTGCTCAATGTCTGCAGTTTCAGGCATCCCTGTTTGGGAACAAACAGCTTCTCAACCAAGCTCGCTAAAAAGTGAGCTCGAAAGATGCTTGCTTGACAAGGTGTAGCTTCACGCAGAAAACCGCCAAACAAACAAACAAAGCAAGCATGATACTGGCCAAATCCCGGCACTTATCTCAGCGCAAAACAATCATGGCTTGGCAGCCTCATGGGGCTGCCGAAGGATCCGGTGCTGAGCCTCAAATTACTAGTCACACTGTGCCCGTCGGCGGCTTGGATTGTTCATTGCCTACAGGCCTTTGCAAAGGGACGACTTCAACTTTCGTCATGTCTCGAGATTCTCGAGTGGTTCACCGAGATGGGAATGATACGCTGCTTTGGGTGCCCTGCTCGCGCCAGGTTCTGCCAAATCCAAATGATGAGCCAGGCCAGGCCTCCAAAAGCACACGGGCAACCGTATTTGTTATCTCGCCCTCTCTTAACTCTTCAAGGCGGAGCGCGTTACTTGAACCGCTACTTCAAGAGTCACCGGGTCTGACAGGATCAACTGACAAATCGAAAAGCTCAATTTCGGAATGTGTGCATTGCTCAAGTGGGCAGGGTGCTTCGTCTGTTGAGACAAGAAAGCGAATAGCGTAGCTCTCCAGGACTGCCCCTTGGGGCTGCAACATGGGTGCTGTGAAGTTGCAGCCTTTTCCAGCATGCGCACATCATCGTATAAGCAATGGTGGCAACCCTGTTTTATAAAACATATTGCAGATACATCCTGCACACCCACCGCCAGCAAGACTCGACGGGGCCACAAGATGACCACAAGGCTCACACTGGCGTTTGCGGGTGCATCGGGTGGGGTTTGCAAATCAAACGGCAATGCCCGCCTCTGCAGCTCAAGAAAACTGGCAGTCGCGCCTTGGCGGCGGTTGGCTGGCCACGGGCAAGCCATCAAACATAATACTGTCTGTTGTTTTCTGAACGATGAGCCTTGTCTCACTCACTCACTCTCACTCTCACTCTCACCCTCACCCTCACCCTCACTCTCACCCTCACTCTCACTCCTCTCACTCTCACTCTCACTCTCACTCTCACTCACTCGCTCACTCACTCACTCAAGCTGGACTGGGGCAAACCTTATCGCCCGCCGCCCGACACCTCCAAGGAACACCAGCAAGAGATGAAAGACCGGCCAGCATGGTTTTCATTCTCTCTCATCTCAGTGCTTCTGTCTGTCGGCTTGGGCGCTGGCCCATCCCAAGCTGTCGTGGCCTCATTTCCAGAGGCCATGAGGTTATACACCGCAGCGCCACTGAAACCTAAACGTTCGTTAGCCTTGAATTTGGGGAGGCGCCGAACTTTGGACCACAGTTTTGGTGGGTGGGGGCTGTCAAACTCACCATCAGCCGATATGCAGCTTGAGACCATGCGCCTGAAGAAGGGATTATAATATGATGCATTCCGGCTTCGTTGGATTGCTGTGGCGCTGCACTACTGGTCTCCTGGTTGTGCATTGCAGCCTCTGTGAGGCTGTGAGGACCCGTGCTCAAGCGCAGCCCAAGCACCGCACCTCGCCAGTGTTCACTCCCAAGCCTCGGACAAGAAATCCATCAGTCAAACGTGGCTAATACGAGCGACTAGCACATTTGGAGTCGCAGCGGAGCAAGGTGAAGCACGGGATCAAGTTGATCGCATACATGAGCACTCACAGTCCAGTAATCTGTCCACTTTCTGTAGCACAGCATAGCGTAGCCATTCACGGGCGGATGCTGGGGCCGAGCCTTGAAGGCTTCAAGCCTTGGGGCCTGGCCCGGTGTTGTACAAGGAGTCGATAAAGGTGCAGCAAAACACCTCCACCTTGAAACCGGGCAACCCCATGGCCAGCACACTGATTCAAGAAACGGAAGCCTGCGACTTCCAGCAGATTCCAGGTCCCAGGCGATGCCCAAATTTGAGAGCGGAGGCCCTAGGCTCCCGGCAGCTGTCAGAATAAACAGGGCCAACGCCTGAAGTCTGAAGTGCAAACCCGGCATTCAGGCAAGTGCATTTCAAATCGCATCTCCGCCCGCTTGAGGCAACCATTTCAATTCGACAGGCCCTGCAAAGTGGAACCCTGGCCTGCTTGTCTAGCCTGGACTCCAATTTCTTCCGGATGGTGGTGTCATGGTACCACCTAGCCGAAAGCACGTGGTCTACTTGGCAAATCATTGGTGTTGTGTGTGGGTGTGCCCATGCCTTTGTGTGTATTTGACGTCTTGCCCGGTTGCCAGCTGCACAACAACAGAAACTACTCTTCTCTACATTGACATGCTGCTAACCATGCCACTTCACGCAGCATGCAGCTTGTCACGTGTCTTTCTATTAGTACAACCTGATTGAGCTTCAAAAACATTTGTACGATTCACACACCCAAGCAAACACATCAATTAAACCATGATGTGCCCTCTGGAGAGCCACAGCGTGGCCAAAACATGGGGCGTCTCAAGCCCATGGCCCTGCAAATCTCGCCTCTGCCACTTATCTTCGATCTCAGATGTAAAGTCCTGGCACGGGGGCCCAACTCTCAAAGAGTTCTGGCACTCATAGCCTAGCCACACGCTGACAAGCCTCCCGCGCCCAACTTGGCAAGAGTCCTCTTCCAAAGGTTTTGCGCTTCTGAACGGCTTTTGCTGAAACCGGTTGTTGCTTTTTTGTGCAGGTTGCAATCACCCAAATTTGTGCAACTCGCTTTGACTAAGCACACTTTAAGAAGCCCTGGATGTCGCGTCCAAAAGAAAGGTTTGTTCCATCAACCGGCGAACCATGTCAACATGAATGCCGCGTTCTGCCACTCAGGGTTGGAGCTTTCAGCTGATGCAGGCCATGAAAAATACCCGTTGCCCGACCACAAAATGTATCAGGGGGGCGTGGTGGCCCTTGTGCCCAACGCGAGTGAGCAGCAGTTAGACATGACTGAAGCAATAAATAATGACTCATTTGCAGAGATCCCGCTACGAAAAAGGGAAGGTTTCCCGTCCGGCGTCCGCAGGAAGAAGGAGAACCACCACTTCCAGCTTCGAACCTGCGGCGAGTTCCCAGCTCGAGAACAACTCCCTTGGCCCATTGGTGCACGTTCGTTTGCCGGATCCCGCCTTGCTGGCAGACCGTTCTCGGAGCTGACTGCGAGTGCGCTGAAAGGGTCGTTTTGAGCACTTGGGCAAGAGCAACTCTTGACAAGACCCATTGATTCACTTCAGTCACTGTGCCTATGTGCCCATGATGCCGTGCAAACTGTTTACAGGCGTCCAAATCGACATCCCTCGAAAGCAGAGTTGATGCGGTGTGGAATGCAACCGGTTCCGATTCTAATTAGTCGGCGTGCTCGGCACAGGCCAAGGCACAGTGCATGCCATTTTCACTCCCACCTCAGGACTCGCTGGAACTTCTCCTCCTGTGTGCGAAGGAGACTTTGGCCCTCATTACTCATCTAATTACAGTACAATCCTCAGCAACCATCAAAACAAAGCCCACTGTTTAGATCTGCCTGCCGTTGCTCCTTGGCAAAGTGCTTCTCTGGACCATGTTGGACCCTCAAATTGATGGGGAACACAAACACAAACGCTTAGCCTTCTAATCCATTGGAAGCTGAGCCATCCAGGTTGAACACAAACTGGCTTCCAAACCTGAGCGCTCCCGGGAACGGCTAGGCTAAAAGCCCCAAAGGGTGGGCCAAGTGGGGGTGGCCTTCAGCTGACAAATGAGGCTGAAGCACCCCCCAAAAAAAGTGTGCTGTCCTGAAATCATTTCTACCCAGAACTGGAGAAGAGTGGCAATCCATCTGTCAGTCGGCAGGGTGCGCTTTCTCCTCGTTGGGCGAACGGACTTTGCCCTGTTGGAGGTCCTCGGTACTCCGCCATGCCCTGCTGCGGGCTGGCGACCAAAGCGCATCAAAGTTTATGTAGATACGAGCCTCTCTCCTGGAATCTGCATGTCCAAATACACCTCTGCAAGTAAGCACTTTGCAAGTTAGTTGTTGGAGCAGTGTTTGCCAAAGATGCAACCAGCATGCGGGAAGGTTCTAAGCGCATCCTGGGGCCCGCTGCATCAAAGGGCAGCTCCTCATCTGCCTTCAGCACTTGACGTTGCGCCCACTTGCCAAGCAGCTTAGCAGGAGACACCTTGCCGACAAGCCTGGCCCCAAAGACCCCAGCCGCACAAATGTTCACCTGACGGAAGCCACGTTGGGGCGCCCACCGTTGAGAAGCGCAAGACCATGTTCTGCCCCACAGTGCTGCCTCGGAAAGCTGGCAAGGTGGCATCGAGTCAGCTTTGTCCCCAACTCGGCACAACTCGCAATCTCATGGCGGCGAGGGGGGGAGCTTTGCGGAGAGGCTTATACATAAACATGAGGCCCGTTTGAACACAACAGCTAGTGAACAATGATAAGACTGCATCGAAACTCCATGAACCAGATGAAGGAATCAGATCATATCAGATCTGCTCCCTGGCGCCAGGTGTGCGGCGCCGCGGTGGCGACGCCGCCTGTGATGCAAGCTGCTTTCTTTTTGTGGGGCCAAAGAGCTCAACGGCATAAAGAAGTAATCACCTTTGGCGGCAACCGGCAATGCTTGGCCCAAACTAAGGAGAGGTGGCATGGAGCCCCCTTGCTGTTTTCAGCAACCTTTTCGGAGCTTGCTTCTGCGGGTTTGCGGTGGAGAATCAAGAGACAATTTCTTCAAACCTCCCGATCGCGTTGCTTGCGAATGAGCCCCTGGAGTACTGACCCATCGAGCATGCATGCTGCTCAAGCTGAGCCACACATGACAGCAAGTCCGCCGCTACAACGATAGGGAACGAATTGGTTGACATGCTGCTTGGAGAGAAACCTCGCCGGCCAAAAAGAGTCAGATTG